CTGTGGAAGCAGTCAGTTTGGAAGTGTCCAGTGAGAGTGTTGGAGATATCACCATGCCCCTGCTGAGGATTGAGGCCTGGGAATTCTGCATCTGAGGCAGTTGTCTGGGGCCATGAGAAATTTCCCATACCTGCTATGGTGGACTCTTTGTGAGTCCCACAAGCCTTCCTGGAGCAACCCAACCTGGGAACTCTGTTCTTCACATCCAGTGACACCCCAAGTTGTGTTGAGGCATTCATGTAGAGATTTAAGATGCTCCCTGAATAAATGCTTGAAGAGTTGCCTGTGTGTTCTGCATCTCTGCTTATCTGGGATGTGTGTGTGTGTGTGGGTGGTGGTGGTGGTGATCTTGCAACTAAGAAATTCCACTTTGTGATAGGAGGAGATGCCAAATATGATGGCCATGTTTTTCTATCCACCACAGTGGACATCATAATTGCAGTGCATTGAAACCCACAAAAATAGGTTATAATCCAAAATCTTTATAATTCCTTTCCAGTGAGTTAAGAGAAATGATATAACTAGAACCTATTTTCCAGCCACCAACAAGACAACAAAACCAATACCATTGGGTTAGCAATATTCATGGATTAGCAAAATAGATTTAATTTCTTGCTCCTGTAACATGCTAGTCAAGTGCTCTTTGCAGAGTTGTATCTATGGAAAATAGCACCTATAGCCCTATAGCAAGCATTGAAATTGTGCCCGTCTATACATCTGACAGGAGCCCTGGTGGCATAGAGGTTATGCGTTGGGCTGCTAACTCTAAGGTCAGCAGTTTGAAACCACCAGCCACGGTGAGGGAGGAAAAACTCAAAACCAGATGCACTGCCTTCCAGTCAAGGCTGCCTCATGGTGACTTCTCTAGGACAGGGTAGAACTGCCCCTGTGAGTTTTCGAGACTGTAACTGTCCACTGGAACAGAAAGCCTCATTTTTCTCCCATGGAGCGACTGGTAGTTTCGAACTGCTCTTCTTGTGGTTATCAGCCCCATTCTACTCTCATGAAGAGTTACAGTTAAATAAAAAGAGAGTTACAGTCTACCGTTTTGGGTCGCTGTGATGGCTGTGAGATACATCTGACACCTCTTTTAGATAACATACTAGAATATCAACTCAAAAATTCAAGTCAGGTGGTTCATCTTTGAATGAACACATTATGGCACTATATCAAAATCAGAAATAGTCCCTTACTTTCACTGATGAAAATTGGTTTATGTTCTTTTTTTTTAAATTTTTTAATTTTTTTTATTTTTTCAGTAGTTTATTTTTCCAGTTTCTTCTCTTTTTACACTCCATGGAGCATAGACCTCACACCGTCTGCCTTCACGCAGGAAGGCAGACATGGAGGCATTAGCTTTAACTTGCTGACTGATCTCTCAGAGAAGGCGATGGAAGCAGCAATGGTTGACAGGCCTGCTCAGTGGCACCCTCGGGCATGTGCCAGGTCCCCTATCTCTTAGAGATGCCTCTGGCTCTTGGTCAGCAGGCAGCGCCTCTCCATCATCTGACTGCTGCTGGTTCAGGCTCTCAGTGCATCAGAAGCCCTTGAAGGACTTGTTAAAACACAAATGACTGGTTTCTACCCTGGGGGTTTTCAGTCTGGTGGATGTGGGATGGAGCCCGAGAATATGCATTTCTAACAAGTTCCCAGGTGATACTGCTGCGGGTTCAAGCCCTCCCTATGAGGAGCTCAACTCTACCTAACAAGGGGAGGAGGGAACCTCCTGGTTGCCTTGGCACGGAGGCCGCGCCCACCCTCCCGCCTGACCTCCTATTCGCGGGAACTCATCCTGTGGTCTCTCTGACGCCCATTCTCTGCCTCTCCTAGGCGTTCCAACACCAGCGTCCTTCTGCAAAATGCCCGTGAGGTACATGTGAACGTTCAAGGCCTAGCACGAGCCACAATCCTTCTCAGTTGAAGGGACCCTGCTGGGGGCCTGTGGACCAGGGTCAAGTCCCAGAAATGCCCCGAAGCTCCCTGCTCAGGTCTTAGGTCCAGAAATGCCACGTTCTCAAAGACATCTCTGATTCCTTGGTCTTTAAGTTCCTTTTCTTTCCTGTACTTCCCCCATCCTTCCTGATTCTCAAATCGGTATCCTCCCTGACGTTTGACCATGTGTCGACTCCAGAGAGCCAGAGTGGAGACTCAAAGGGGCCACTACTGGCCGGGGGGCACTTTGGGGGGGGGCATCATATCATGGACTAGGTCAACACAGGAGCAATCAGGCTCGGGGCCGTGGCGTCACCACCCTAAGTCCACAGCTCTGCCCACCGGGCGCAAGGCAGCGTCGGGAGAGGATGCGCTCCAGTGCCTACCCTCCACGGGCTCGTCACGTGCTGAGTGCTGTCACGTGCCCGGAACGGGGTCAAGGGCCGCCCCCCCGCAGCTGATTGGTGTCCCGGGGCCTCATGGCTACGCCCCCGCCGCTCTGCGTGTGGAGCCGCCGTTTCTTGCTTCTACTGTTCCTGCCGCCTCTGAACCGGGGTGAGGCAGGCCGGCGCGCCCCCAGCTCCCCGCCCGCGCCCACCGAGGGCCCTGCCTCTCTGCCAGGCAGGCCTGGGCTGTCCCTTGTGCCCGCGTCCCCATCGCCCAGCCACTTCCCCGCCAGGGCTTTGCGGAGGTGGTTCCAGGGACCCTCAACTTCTGCCGCTTCCCTGGGACCCCGCTTCCCCTGCAGCCCCCCACCCCACCCCACCCCCAGGGCCTCCGCGTCTCCTCTAGGACACGCTGCCGCGCTAGTCTAAACATGGCGCCCCAAACCCCGGGCCACCCTCTCTCCAGCACCCCCACATCTCCTCCACTTCCCAGGCAGCCCAACATCCCAACATCTTCCCCTGCAGCACATCCCACACCTCCAGCCTCGGTCCATCCGCCCGCATCACGGCTCTCTCTAAAGTTGCCATCTGTCCAAGCCCTGGATCCCTCCCCGGTGCATCTCCCTAGTGGTTGTTTTCCCCTCACTTGGAAAATGGAGGCCCAGGGGTGCTGTCTCCTTTGACTATGAGGGGAGGAGGGGGCGACGAGGGAGGACCCCTTCAAACCTGGCTGCTTCCGCATCCTCCTCTCCTACTGTTGACGGAAGCACGCACGGTCATCCCTCAAGGTCAGCCTACTCTTCAGGCGTTCCTCCCTCTGGCATAAACCTTCCCCTGTCCCGTCTGTTGTGTCCTCAACCCTGCTCCCCACCACTTCACAGCCAGTCTTCTCAAAAGAAGACGCCCCACCGCCTCACTTCCCAGTCATCCACAGCGCGTCCTTGCAGTGCCTCTGTTCTTACTGCCTCGGTCCTTTCTGTCTCCTTGTTGGTTTTCTCTGGCCCTTGGGCTTCTCTCTGATTCTCTTCTACCTCCAGGCTAACGCTCAGCCCGTCTGTCTGTCCGTGCCCCTCCCAGACCACCGATGCTGCCCTTATCCCCGATGGGTATGCTGGTCCCCGAGGCTCGGCCTGGGTGGCCTTTGCTCGGCACTCTTCACTACTCCTATTGGGCACTCACTAGCCCTGGGCTCTGAGCTGCCATTGTCATGGCAGTGCCTCACAAAAGGCTGTGTGTCGGTGTGCTGCACACATCCGCCTCAATGGCCGAGAAACATCTCAAGCCCTGGCGCCCCAAACCAAAGCTTTCATCTTCCTACAAATCTTAGTCTGTTCCCTAATTCAGTGGATGAACTCCACTCTTTTACAAAGCCAGAAACTGGGGTGTGGTCCTAGACTCCTCCCTTTCCCAAAGCCCCATATGGAGCCCACCCTGCCCTCTCATGATCATGTTCTGGGTCTCCTAATTACTTGGCTGGGTTCTATAGCATCTCCATTTAGCTCTCACTGTGCCCAGCCTGGTCACCTTGTTTGTGCTCCATGCCCTCTTCATAATACAGCCCTGACCCAACCAGGTCAGACCTCTACTGACTTCCTTTCTGTCAGATGTCTGTCCAGCCTATGAGGCCCTCCGTGGTTGGTCTTTGACCCTTTGCCATTAGAGGCCAGGCCCTTCAGCCTCTGGCATCTCTGGCACACTGGTGTTTCTTTAGCGAGTAATGCCATTTTCCAATTTCATGTCTGTTTTACCTTCTCCTCTACAAGTCTTGACACAATCATTCCTTCTCTCAGAAGGCTCTCCTGTCCAACATTTCTCCTGAGCTCGGCTGACACCTGCAACTCCATCCCCAAACTCATCTCATGCAGGTGATTGGGTGTTCACGTCTATCTCCCTACTGTGCAGTGTGTACCTCAAGGGCAGGCTCTGTCGGACACATCTTTCTCCCCAGCCATAGAATGGGCACTTAATATTCTATGAACGAATGAAAGAAGAATACATCTACGCCCACTTCATCTCTGCCCCTCTTCTCTCCTGCAGGTTACAAAGAAGACAAAACCAAGCCAGGTGGGTTGGGTGAGTCCCTGCTGCCATGGGCCCAGATGTGTTTTTTCTCAAAAGGACCACATAGACACAACGAAAGTTTCTGGGCCTGTAAACTCACTCTCCTTGCTGTCAAGTTGATTCCGACCCACAGTGACTCTGCAGGATAGGCTAGAACCGCCCCTTTGGGTTTCTGAGGCTGTAAATCCTTATGGGACCAGAGAGCCTCCTCTTGGTCCCTTGCAGCCGCTGGTGGGATCAACGTGCTGACCTTGTGGTTAGCAGCCCAGCTTGTGACCCATTACCCCATAGATTCTGGGTCTGTCGGAGATAGGAATTGGGGAGGTCTGCCTTCTGCAGAACAGCCTGGGGTGGCCAGGATATACAGGTATACCAGTCCCCAGGAGAGAGGAACCTCTTATGGAAAGGCAGCGCCTCTTAGTTCCGTGCAGGCTTCATCCGAGCTGATCCGATCAGGATGTGATGCCCATCTGGAGATAAACTGTCCAGGAAGCTTACAAAGACCCTCCACAGAAAAGTCTTTGGGCTACCTGTTCGCTCGGTGTACCTGGAGCCTCCTCTGGTCGGGTCTGCAGAGTTCAGCTCCTCTGTCTCCCTCTCCTTCGACCTCAGTGAGAGAGTAGGGTTGCTCCTGCTCTTGGGGTCCTGGGTCTCCATTGTCACTGGTCCATCCTAATTTGGGATTGATTGCTGGTTAATTGATGAAGTGTTCCTGTAGAGACATATGCTGCTGTTTCTGTGTTTTTAACTTACATGCGTGGATCTGCTCCGGATCTCCTTCTGTTTCCTTACTCTCGTCATCCAACCCTAGTGAAAACAAAGTTTTAATCGGAAATTATTTGAAGCTTGTAAAACATTGCAAAAATGAAAATAATCTAAGGAATACACACGAGTAGATGCGCGTGCATGCGCATGTGTGCACACAGCACACACACACAAGTACAGTGGTGTGCAAGAATTCTCACCGTGAACACGCTGGGCAGCCATCACTCAGGTCAAGAAACAGAGCGATACCGCAACCGCGACTTTGCCATCGACCTGACTCTGATGTGCAGTGACCCGGTGAGACGGGCAGACGCCCCGTTTGGTTCCTAAGGCGGCAGTCTTATGGAAACATCCCCACATGTCATCAGTGGCCTGGCGGATGGTCATACAGCGGAGCGTGTCACTTCCTCTGCTTTATTTCTGTGAAGCAGCATGACTCCGAGCTTCTAACATGCAGCATGGATTCATTTTGCCTGTTCGTTAATGCCATGGGATGTGTGCTTGGGTTTTGAGCAGATAACTTGGAAAGGTAAGGATTTTCCTTCTGTTCTCAGTTTCCTAGGATCTCTCTTTTCAGTCATAAATGATGTGTTGAATTTTTCAAATGCCCTTCCGTGGATCTCTTGAGAACAACACACGGTCCTTCTCCTTCCACCTGTGGCTGCGTTGGACAGATGGAGAGCTTGCTTTCACGTTGGACGATTCTTGGGGTAATCGATATCATCACAATGCAGTCTTTTTCTAAAATAACTATTAGCTAATATTTTACTTAACTTATAAGATGCCGGATTTGACTGTTGTACCTTGAAAGTTCGCAGAAGTTCTCTGTAAGCCCTTCTCTGAGATGGGGAGGCGCTTGGTATCATTTTTATGCGTCATGCTTATTGGTGTAGATCTCTGCTTTTACGTGCTGTTGTTGAGTCAACACGGACTCATCGTGGCCCCCACCCCCACCCCGGTGGGTTTCCTACACTGTAACGCTTCACAGGAGTAGAAAGCCCACTCCTTCTCCTGTGGAGCTGCTAGTGATTTTGAACTGCCGACCGTGTGGACTACAGCCCAACTCGTAACCACGAGGCCACCAGGGCTTCTTAGATCTGTGCTTCAGAGTTGTATTTTCTCTCATTTTACCTTTGGCTTTTCCTCTTGTTCTTATGAACGCACTTCAGCCATCCCTTTGGTCAACTGCTCCCAATTGGATGGGCTCTAGAAATAGAATCCCAGAACCTGATGGTTTAGAGTTATGTGCATGCTAAGAGCCTGTGAGCTGTGAGTGGGGGTTCCATGCTAGAGGGTCTGTGTAGAGACCTCCACTTCTGGACTTTGAGGCAGTGTGAGGGGTGGAGGCCTTGGCCTCTCAGAGGCGCAGCAAACAGGGTAGTTCTCAGGAACACGACCAAGGGTCTGAACTTCAGGCACAAGAAAATGCAGTTCTTGGTCTTGGGATTCCTTCGCTTCCTCCTCCTTGTTGTCTGATTTTGAATCCATTTTCTAGTTGGTTGGGCTGGCGTAGAGCAATGTTCCTGGTTTTAAAAGTAAAGTCTGTTTTTAAATTTTGATTTAAATTTTAGTAAGTAAAATCCCTCCTCCCAGTGATGGACAGGTGGTGCTGGGGTGGACACGAAGGCAGACAGGTGCAGAGGGGGAGAGAGACTGGGTCCATGAACACACAGCAGTTTGACAGAGCGCATTTGCTCATGAATATTTACCTTTGCCGCAAACCTGTCGGTGGAGGCGATGGAGCACACAAGGGACAAAGTTTTGAAAACTTCATAAAAGGAAGCAAACACCTCGAAGCAATGAGTGGCTGGGCCTGGGAGCTCAGAACCATGGTTTGGCGGGACAGCAAGGTCAGTTGGTAGCACACAGTCCCTGGAGCCAGGGCTCTGTGTCCCCCATTGGTGAGGAGTGACTGTGGTTTGAAAGGCTTGCAAGTGCCTATCCGAGGTGCCACTGTTGGTCTCGCCCCGTGTGGGGGAAAGCAGCATGAATAAAATCAAAGACGCATGGATACAATTAGTCCAACGAACGAATGGACCTTGGGGCGTGGGTGCCCCTGACCCTGAGACCAGAAGAACCAGGCGGTAGGTACCCAGCCACCACCACCAATCCCTCTGAACAAGGGTCACATCTGAAGACCCTGCATAGAGTGGAAGAAAATCATGGATCAAAACCATCAAAGACAGACGAGACCGATGGGCGAGATGAGACTGGGGGAACCTCCAAGCCCACGGCCCTCACTCACCCTCCAAGTCTGGAAGGACGCGCGTCCCATGGCTTCATTCATTCCTAGCTACAACACAGCTGTGTCCACAAGGAGAGAGAAAGAGAGGGCGAGGGCGGTGATTGAGACCCACCCTTTGAGATCAGTAGGGCAGCACGGAACACCAGGACAGTGTTCCGGAGGGTCAGCAGGGAAGGAGAAGCGAAAAGGAGACACCCAGGAAGGAGGGCGTGGGATTCGCCACCGGACGCTGAGGGCACAGCGATCAATGAGGCGAAACTGCAGGCGTGTGATCTGGAGCGTGGAAACCTGCCCTGCTCCGTCAACCGTCACCCAACTCACAAGAAACTGCTCCCTAACCAACCGCATTCCTCCTGTACACGACACCACCTGTGTGCCCCAAACCTGCATCCCTGCGCCCACAACGCACAGCCCAGGCCACTGTCATCGCTCCCCATGCCTCCCTCTCTCCTGCGACACTGTCTCCACATCTCTGTCTCGATGCTTTGTCATCTGTCTTTGTCGCTTTCTGTCCCGCTCACTGCCTTGGGATAAGCCACCCCCCACCCCAAACTCCCACTTAGCCTTCCCTTCCTTAAGATGAGGACAGGTCCTTGAGGCGACAGGCCTGTGAAATTGAGCTTGGTCATTCTTATCCTCCTCTCTGCGGCTGCCGTGTCTGCCCGGCACACTTGTTCCTGAAGTTTGTGGCAAACCCTGGTGGCCGAATGATGTGGGTACGCACCGCCATTGGCCCTGGGAGGCAAGCCTGCGGCTGAACAATGAACATGTGTGTGGAGGGTCCCTCATTGACCCCAGCTGGGTGGTGACTGCTGCTCACTGCATCCAAAGGTGAGTGTGTCCGGGGCCCGGAGATCCAGGGTGGCAGTGGCTCAGCCACACCTCGCTCCTTCCGCAAAACCATGGGGAGATGGGTGTAGGGAGGAGGGGGCTGTGGAACGGGAAAGAGTCACGTTGGGGATCTCACAGGAACCAGGGATCGTGCTGGGGCAGAGCCCCGAGTGACAGTAACTTGAGTGCTGTATTAGTCTGGGTAGATTAGAGAAACAAATTCATAGAAACTCATGTGTCCAAGAAAGAGCTTTATGTACAAGAGCAATTAAATATTGAGAAAACATCCCAGCCCAGTCCAGATCAAGTCCATAAGTCTGATATTAGCTCATATGTCCAATACCAATCTATAAATTCCTCTTCAGACTGATGCAACACATCCAATGATGCCAAATTCAGGAAGATCACAGGTCAGTGGGTGGAAAGTCTTGTGGATCCAGTGGCAGTGTAAGCATCTCAGAGCTGGCGTGGGTCTCCACATGGTTCCTTCAGGTCCAGGGCTCAAGCGTAGCTCCATGTGTCTTGTCATCAGGAAGACAAGCAGAGTCTGTGTGTCTCTGGTTTCTAGTGAGCTGTTTATCTCCATGGTGCCTCCAAATGAGGTCATCAAGCTGCGACCTGATTGACAGGCTAGACCCCACCCCTTTGCAAGTCGACCCAAGGTTATGTAACTGCCACAAGTGCCAAGCAGGGTGGCAAGGAAAATCCAACCCACACAGCCTATTCCCCCTTCCAAGAGGGCCTCTGGGTACACTCCCCGCCTCACACCCAGCCCCCAGCCCAGGGCACCTTGAATTAACTGTGGAGAGAGCAGGCAGGTGCGGGCCTGATGGCTGAGATGCCCAGGCCACACTAGGCACAATGGGTGAGCAGAGAAAACTGGGCAGGTCTTCTGCTGAGGGAGGGGGGCCTCGGGGGAGGCAGGGACAGTGCTTGCTTGGAGACTCCCGGGTCTTTGTGTCTCCTGCAGCACTAAAGAGTACTCGGTGATGCTCGGCACCTCGGAGCTGCAGCCCCAGGCCTCCAGCCAGGCCCTCCTGATCCCCGTGAAGGACATAATCATGCACCCCAAGTACTGGGGGCGGACCTTCATCATGGGTGATGTGGCCCTGCTGCAGCTCCACCCCCCTGCCAACCTGAGTAAGTTCGTGCAGCCCATCTGCATTCCAGAGCCCAAGTTCCACCTGGAGGTGGGGAAACCGTGCTGGGTGACCGGCTGGGGTCAGATTAAGCAGCGTTTCTCAGGTGAGTGGGATGGGGTGGGAGGTGGGGGTTGTGAAGGGCGCACAAATCCTGTCCGGGCCCAGCCATGGAGCCTCTTGCAGGGCTTGTGGCTGATCCCTTGGGCCCTGGCTTCTCCAGGTGTGTTAGCGTCGCTCCTCACGTGCATGCTACCACCACAGGTTACACCTGTGGGCCCCTGGTGCCAGCCCACCCGGCGCTTTCTTCTTCCGGAAGCTCAGTGACAGAGCATGGTCATGTCACCCCCTTGCTCACGCTCTCCTTCCATGGACAGACCCAGCCATGAGACCACAAAGGGGCCTCAGAACGTCCATGGGCAAATGCCACTATCTTTCCGTCCTATCGCTCCATGCCGATTTTGAAGCCCCCTTGCTCATGCCCTGCCTGCCGGGGGATTGGCGATAGGGTTGGGGTCAGAGAGGGGCCACAACCTGGTCTGGGGACCCAGGATGAGCTCTGGGCAGAGCGGCTGCCCTGAGGTGCCTGCAGGAGAAGCCCAGGTCAGTCAGATGGCACCGGAAACAGGCAGGGCCAAGCACAGTGGGGAGCGGGCGGCCCCGAGAGGGCAAGGCCGCCTGTGAAAGGGGTGGATAGAGTAGGAAGGGGTGCAGTGGGGCCTGAGGTGAGAAGCTGGGCAGAGGTCAGGGCTGGGGGGTGAGTTCGGACCCAGTAACTTTCCCGTTTGGGGCTCCCCAGCAGCCGACTCCACATTGAGCCCTGAGCTGCAGGAGGCTGAGGTCTTTATCATGGACAATAAGAGGTGTGACCAGCTTTATCAAAAGAAGTCCCTCTTCCCCCGCGTCATCCCGCTGGTCATGGAGGACATGGTCTGTGCCACTGACTACGGGGAAAACCTGTGCTATGTAAGTTTCGGGGAGGGTTGGGCCACTTGCTTCTGGTGGGCATGGCTTCTGCAAAGGGGGAGAGTGTACCCCAGGGAGGTGTCCCGCTGACCGATCCTGACGTTGCCGGATATTCTGGAGTGAGAGCGGCTGGTCAGTGCCTGGGAGAGGGACTCCCAGCTGAGGAGCTGAAGGAAGACCCCCCAGGGGGTGAATCTTCTCAGCAGAACTCGGAGTGGGCAGCCTGTGCCCCCTGAGGCCCGGTGGGTCCCGTTGGATCCAGAGTCCCCACCACTCCTCTCTCTCTGCCTAGGGAGACTCTGGGGGGCCACTGGCCTGCGAAGTCTGGGGCAAATGGATTCTGGCCGGCGTGCTGTCCTGGGAAAAGGCCTGCTCCAAAGTACAGAATCCAGGCGTGTACATCCGGGTCACCAGATACAGCCGGTGGATCAGCAATCAGCTTGCTGGGGGGCTCCCAAGCTCCCGGGCCTCCCCTTGGCTCCTACTTCTGTCTTGGATGCTACAGCTCCAGATGAGCCCCTGACCTCCCCTCTCACCCCTCCTTCTCCTCCTGCCTCTTCCTGCCTTTCTCTGCACCCTCTGCGGAATGGAGCCGATCACAGGTAGACCAGGGCCATGTGTCTGCACTCAACAGGAGCCAGGGGGGAGAAGGAGTGTCCCCAGGAGATTTGAGTCCTGCTTGGAGATTTGGGACACTCAGCGGGAGGGGTAGGGCGATGACTGGGCCCTGGGGGACCTGGAGCAGGGCAGTAGGGCCTAGAAGGGCTTTGCTATTGTAGACCAGATAGCGGATTAAACTTGTGTGACCATGAGCTGGCTCTGTTCTCATCCCTGGTTGTGGCCGGGCTGGGTGAATGTGTGGGCAGGGCATTCTGGGATTAGTTTAGGCCAGCAGACACCCTGGAGTCTGGCCTGGTTGATTTTTTTTTGCCGTAGAGGGAAAGGAAGAGGGAAAGAACCTCGGCCTACTACCTGGGTCCTTGCAGTTAGCAGCCCAGCTCATAGCCCACGACACCTCCAGGGTTCACATATAAATAACGAGAAAGAAAAAGATTCCCTGCGGCATCCACCCCACAGCCCACCCTGCTCTCCTTCCCTAGAGGTAATCCCTTAACAGCCTTAAGAAAAACCAAAAACAGTTAAATGGGCACTTCACACAGCCTACAACTCAATAGTTCAATCCTATTGAGAAGCGTTGCACGACCATTATGACAATTAGTTTTAGGACATTTTCCTCTTCTTTTGACTCATTGTTACTCGTGGAATTATTATTTTTTCATTGCGGCAAAAATATACACCATGAAACCCTGTCCGGGCCAACAACTTCGACATGAAGAATTCAGTGCTCTTCGTGCTGCACAACCACTATATTAGCATCCTTATATTACGCACTTTTATGTATTTTTAATAAAGAGGATTTTATAGGAGTCCTAGTGGCATACTGGATTTCATGTTGGGCGGGGAATCACAAGGTCAGCAGTTCGAAACCACCAGCCACTCCAAAGGAGACAGATGAGGCTTTCTACCCCCATAAATACTTAGTCTTGGAAACCCCAAAGGAGCTGCTCTGCCCCATGGCAGTTCTTGGCAGTGAGTTTGGTCCCTGGGTCCCTGAGTGGGACAAACTGCTACGTGCCCCACTGCTAGCCAAAATGTCGGCGATAGGAGGCGCTTTGGAAAACAAACTGCCTTTAAAAAGGCACAACCTGGAAATCCCCCCTGGGGCACTTCTAATGCGCACACCTGGGGCCACGAGGAGTCCGAATCAGCTCACGGAGAGGGCTAACAACCCAACAATATAGGTACTCAATCACTTGTTTTTTTAACTTAACATGACTGGAAGACCTTTCTGTGTCTGCGCCTAGAGCTGCTCTTCAGACTTGAAAAGTACTGTAAGTATTCTGTGTGGACAGAACTAGAAACAAAGCCAAACAGCGGACCGGACACACTGCTATCGAGCTGACTGACTCACACCAGCCTTTAGGGCCGGGTCGCATTGCCCCTGGGGGCTTCCAAGACTGGCGCGCTGTAAAACCTAGATTGTTTGCTACGTATCAGATTCTGTAACAATCTTTTCCTTTCCATAATGTCTACCTATGATGTAAGTGTTATTATGAGTATTCAACTTATTTGGCAGGTGAGAAACAAAGACCATGGCTTGGGTCAGGCACACTTTCATCCTCAAAGTATCATTCCTGCTTTTCAACATTTTAAAGAGGTCTGGTGCAGCAAATTTACCTAATGCACCATGTCTTTTGATCTCTTGGCTGCTGCTTCCACGAGCATTGATCCAAGCAAGACGAAATCCTTGACAACTTAAAGCTTTTCTCCGTTTATCATGATGTTGCCTGTGGGTCCAGTTGTGAGGATTTTGTTTTGTTTTTTTAATGTGTTTAGGCTATTTATTCATGAAAATGTGCTGATAAGGTATTCAAATTTGAAAGTCTTCCAAATGTATTGCCTTTAAAAAATATTTTAAAAATAATTTTATTGGGGGCTCCTACAACTCTTGTTACAATCCATGCATCAATTGTATCTGACATATTCATACATATATTCCATCATTCTTTTCAGGACATTTACTTTCCATTGAGCCCTTGGGATCAGCTCCTTTTTCTTCCCTCCCCCCACCCCCTCAACTCTTGTGACTCCTTGATAGATTATAGATTATTTTCAAATCTTCCATCGACTGCTGTCTCCCTTCCCCTCTGGTTTCTGTTGTTCTTCCCCCTGGATGGGGGTGTGAGGTTGTTAGTTTATTGTACCAACCTGGCTGATAAACACATGTGGGGTTAATTGAAGGGTGGAGCGGTAAATGGCTCAGTGAGCCTAGCCTTTCTAGTTTTCGGGTCTCTTGCTTTCTGATGGTCAGACCAGGGTGCAGCTCCCTTAAGCCAGTTCCCTGCTTCAGCTGGCAAGGCTGACTTCCTACAAGACATCCCTGAGGGGAACCCACATGGACCTCCTCCGATGCAGCTCTGGGTGCTGGAGCAGCCATGTGGAGACCTCTGCCAGCGCTGAGATGCTTACACATTCCCTGACTCAGCTTTCCTCCTGCAATCAGCATCACTGTGTGTGTTTTGTGAGATGGAGGAGGACTTTGTGGATTGGTGTCGGACATATGGGTTAATGTTGGACTTGTGGGCTTGGGCAGCACTGGGTTGGAATGTTTTCTTGATGTGCACTGACCCTTTGTATAAAACTCTCTCTTATACATATGAGTTTCTGTGGATTTGTTTCTCTAATGTACCCAGACTAACACAGGGTGTGTGGTTATGAGCCATTCATTGCGATCGGTGCCCCTCCTCCCTCCCCACCTCTCCCCGCCTTCCCCCTACCCTTTTGGGATCTCTATTCCCACTCCTGTTCTTGGGTTCCATGTGTTGTGAGTTTCATCTCTTGTGTATACCTAGGTATATGCCCAGCATGGGAAGTGGCATTTTGTCTTCTTTACATTGAATCTAAATCCACACTGAAGGCTTCTGTGACCCTTGGTCTTCATCAGCAAGCGCTTCAAGTCCTCCTCACTCCCAGCCAGCAAGGTGGTGCCATCTGCATAATGCAGGTTATTACTACCTATGGTATATGAGAATGAATGTTTCCCCTTTGCTAAAAATGCATATTATTAATATTTGAAGTGCTTTTCAAACTGATTACAATTTAATATTGTTGCTAACAGCTTGTAATTTTTAATTGGAAAATTTTTTTCCATGTGTTTGCTTTTAGAAGTCTCCTTTATTCCTAGTGAAGTCCCTGTGTATCTAGTTTGCCGGTTCTTCTACTGCATTGCTTATCTTCTCATACGGAAGGTCTTCTTTGTCTTGTCGGACTTGTATTAAGTCTTTGTCGATTATGTGGAATAGACAGGTACTTGCCATCACGACTTTAAAATGGAGTCAGTGTGCCCATCCTAACCTTCTTTCTGGATTTTCTGTCTTGCTCAGGATGGCCTTCTCCAACTCCGAGTCTTCAAAACTGCCTTCCTATACTTCTTTTAACATTCTGATCATTCTATGGTGATATTTCCACAATGCCTTAGGAAACTCGTGATGTACGGAGTCAGGCGGGGATTTAATTCTACTACCAGGTGGAGAGACGTGTTCAGGGACAGTTTCTTGTGGAGTCTGTCCTTTTCCTGCTGGTGTGAATTTGACGTTTAAAACAGTGGGACAGCCACATGTGCGTTGGCCCATTCTGAACCCTCTATTCTTGCCCCATGGTTGTGCTGCGCTGTTTCGAGTAGCTGTATGTTCTGTTCGTTTCTGTCAAATGGTAACAGAAACCCTCCTGCCTTTTTATAAAAAACAAAACATCGCCAATTCTACCAAGTTTACTTTTCATAAAACTTTAGAATCAGTTTTCATTAAAAGTCCTATTGTTGTCTGAATTGAGGTTATATTAAACAGATTAATTTGAGAATGGCAATTTTTCAGTGCTGAGTTTCTGTCCAGGGATATACCATAGATCTCCATTCATGTAACTCTTCTTCAATATCTTTTCAGTAGTCTTATGTTTATTCACGGTGTTTGTAGAAAATATCCTATTAAGTTTATTTTGAAATGTTTTAGTTTGTGAACACGACCGAATTAAGACATGTGAGAGCCCTAAAGACTGATCACGTGTGGGCCCCGTCCTCTGCGCGCTCACACACTTGAGTGGGATATGTGAGTCTTGCACTGACCCTGGGGCCGCAGTAGGGCAAGCACTGGGCTACTAACCACAAGGCCGGCAGTTCATGAGGTCATGTGCTCCCATCAAGATTTACAACCTTGGAAACCATATATCGGGTCACTAAGAGTCAAAATGGAGTCTGTGGCAGAGTGTGTGTGTGTGTGTGTGTGTGTGTGTGTGTGTTATCCATGATTTAAAAAAATCAAGCAACCCAACAATAACAAAATGAAATAGAAAAAAAACTTCCATAAAAAGAGCAGAAACGAATTTAAATGTAGAACAAATTAAAAATGGATCATAAGGAAGGACAAATGATACAGTGTTAAATGTTCATTAGTCCTCCTTGTAAATGGACTCTGTCTGATAGGCAGCTATTCACAGCCCTGGTCCGCGGTCAGAGGGGATTCGCCAGCGGCTTAATCCACATGGGGGTTTGGGGATTTCACTGGCATCCATAGCCGTCTGCACACTGGGTACGCAGAATTTAAGCTCTCACACTGTTCCCTCCTCTTGTCTTGGATTTTATGATGATGTAGCTTCCTTTTAAATGTAACTATAATATTAGCGATTGAAAGCAGAAGTTTCAGCAAAATGAGATTAACTGGATTATAAATCTGGAATTTCTTTTAGGTTACAAATGTTTCAGTGGGTTCAGGGTACTAGGATTTTATGACATGCCACGCTTCACTACAGAAAGACTATTGCACACTCTACAACAAAGAAAATTCCCAGTACTGTTTGGACATTCTTTATGTATTACATTAAATTATTAACGATGTTAGTAGTATATTAAATGTGTGCTAGGTTGCATCACATGTAGATAAATATATTTTAAAGTTAAAGTTATAAATACGAGTGTTTATAAACCCATGGACATAACACTGTATGTTTAAAAAAGTAAACGAATGGAATTCATTGCACGAGTCGTTTTATTTGCGTTCCCTGTTTCGGGGCGCATCTGGGGCTGGAGTGGCTGTTGGTTGGTTTCCAGGACATGTGCGAGAGCATACCATGGTGTTTGCATCACAGAAACGAGTGTTGCCGGCCCTCCTGCCGGAGTTGCTGGATCCGCAGATGTAGACGGATAAACCCATTCTCGCAAAATGAGCCAGAGACCTGTTATCGATTAATGTAATTCACCCTTGTCCGTAACCACTCACCCTGGACCCAGTTGCATGCTGGGTGAAGGTAGCCAGGGTGAGCCTCCACCACCCAGCCCGACCTCTTGTTAATTGGAAAGGCATAGCATACTCCCGGGAGACTCACCCACACAGGAATTTCAGTCACGTGGAAAGGGGCAGTAGAGCCAGATGCCAACTAGAGGGTTGAAGTGGGAGGAGCCTCACACTTTGAACAACGTTTCCCTGGGCACCCTTGTGACCCTGCATGGACTTTATTTCTGGCCTGCATCTTCTCATGCACTGGAGTGGGTGCCCGTTTCCTGTAGTGCCCTGACAGCGCCCTGCAACGGTGTCGCTCCGTTTTCCTGCTATCCTGTCTGCTTGGCATCAACAGGTCTTTGCTTTGTATGGCTGGTACCTTTTTGTTAGGGCCCTAAGCTAAGGTGACCAGATGTCCCGCTTTTTAACAATTTTTTCTGTGTGCTGCAGCATTTTTTAAAAGTCCCGATTAATGAGGACCTAATGTCGGGGGTTTAAATGGAGAGAAAATGTTTTGAGAAACGATGTACAAATGCGCGTTACACAATTGATGTGTGTATGGATTTGGATAACAGTTGTATGAGCCCCTAATAAAATGTTAAAAAAAATAAAATTAAAAAATTAAAAGTCCCGATTTTTGGAAAGAATGCACGACAAGCTAGGGTATATGGTTTTCGGCTGCCATGTGGCTATTTCGCTAGGATATGAGTTTTATCAATGGTGTCCTGCTTTACCAATGTTAAAATCTGGTCACCTTACAGAGCACATGCTAACCTTGCCTCTTGGGTAATCCACCCCTGGTGGTGAATGATATCTTTCCTTCCCCATTATAACTTTCCCTGCCCTCTTGTGCTAATTCTACATGCTGAGTATTAAAAAAACAAGACTGTAGATGAAATTTTTTTAAACGGCGACCTTCATTCTGACCATCTTGCAAAACCGTCGTGTTCATTCCAACAGTTTTTCAGGTTACTTTTGGAAGCTCAAATCGCCTAAACTGGCGCCAGATTTGTCTGGTCCTTTGTGAACACCATCCTGTGGATTTCTTTGGTTACCTCCTT